CCTGAATATCTTGGAGGATTGTCTGGGGTTTTAAGGTTGTCTAACCACAAATCCAGTCTCATACTGTCAGGAGCAGCAAAACCAGTGTGTGTGGTGTGATCTCCACTGCCTAGTCATGCTATGCATCCTTTTTATGAAAGTAAGACCCCATTCAGATGCAAATTAAATGCTGGGGGAACTTCAGTTGAGATGGTGGAGCAATATTTCAACAGAAAGCAGCAACTGTGATGTAAATGCACAACCTTCACCGCTTGAAATACATCATTATACTCCTATTGACCTGATTTTGACACTCAGCGGCACTGGCGGTGGTTTAGATCTATCATTCACTTAGGGGTGTTTTATAAGCTCTCATCAGGGGAAGTGTCTGAATCACATTTTTCCACAAACAACAGGATTAATGAGTATTATATTCAATTTTTCTGTGACTGACATCGCTTTGATGCTCAAGACTGATGAAAATAGACCGGCTGTGAGTGCTGATGGTGGGACATCAACTTGTTTATGTCACTTGACTGTGTCTACCACACATTTCCCTTTGTGCTTCTGGAATCACAGCAATGTGTGCATATGTGTCTGCAAAAACTAGGTCAGTAGGAGGACAGGAAACGTCTGCTCACTTGTCAGACTTCATTGTGTTGCTCTAAAAGTTACTGCACACAAACACACTCACATAGGATACAGACAGGGATGAAAAGAGTTGTGCCCATGCTCGTGTTTCTATGCACATAATTAAGATTTGGCGCACATCCTGCTTATATACACTCAAGTATATTTAAAAAACAGCTTGTAATCAGTTTTCTTTCTCTTCTTCTCGTTGATGTCTGCTCTACTCTACTCAGGGTTTCTTCTTCAGTCTGGCTGCCATTTTTTTTGCCTTTCTTCATCTTAACATTCATTTACTACTTACCTAAATTGTGAATAATCCCTCCTGCCCCCATCAACCCATCTTGTAAGTCGTGTCACCTTGATCATTTCAGAGGATTTCTAAGATTTTGGGTTCAGTTGCTGTCAAACCAGGAGATGAGAAGAGAGGAGAGGAGATTCTTCTCTGCCACTTGCTTTTGCATGTCATGCTTGTGCTGGTCTCAGCAGCTTTGTACTAGAGTGGAGCATTGCATTTAGTAGTGGGAGCTGTGTGTCCTGATCCCAGGGCAGAAGCCTACCAAAGCCAAAAAACACTGCAGTGCAGAGAGATGCAGAAAGAAAGTGAGGGGTACAGTGCAAAAGAGGGTGGCCAGGGGAGAGAGGGAGGCTCGTACTATAGAGGAGACAGCGCCAAAATAAAGAAAAAGGGAAGAGGACAGGAGAAAGCTAATCATGGCACAGCTAAGTGCCAGGGTTTATTAATCAGACACAGCACAAACAAAATGCACATAAACCATCCAACATGAGGAAGTATAATGAGAAAAAAGTGAAAGAGACAGATGGCAAACAGAACACAGGCATTTCAAAAAGTCCAGAAATTGAATTTTTATGAAAGAGCACAGCTAAAGAAGACAAAAAAGACAATGAAGCTTTAAAGGTCATACAATAAAAATGATAGTAATATGTTTCTGTGAAGGTTCATCAGAAAACAATTCAAGGGTTCGTATGCTTCAGGTACTAAGTACCTCAGTGTCTCCCAGGTCTTTTAGTCTGCACATCTGAGTGCCTGAGTGCAGCCCAGGTCCTGCTAGTTGATGGGAAGAGTGTCCATTTCCTCTGAGTGGGTGAAATGTAATATACAAGCAGAGCCTGGGCTGAAGTGCACAAGGTGGGAGGGCAGCGGACGAGATACAGAATAGATGAGAGTTGTTAGTGATGATGCAGGCAGTCTGATACCTGTGTGGTGACCGCAACACTCTCAAACCCCCAGGGTTGTGACCTGTGAGGAGCTGGCATTGAATGACAGCTCCAAGAGTCTCTTAGACACAGCTGGACATTTCACATGTTTGGCATTGTGGTGACCAGCAGGTCACCTGTCTTTGATGTGTGGTGCGTTGTTTGCTCTGACAGATACAGTGGAGCACACAATAAGCTGAGATCATTCTGCAGCCATCCATTTGGACAGCAACCCCAGAAAACCGTGCATATGCTGCTTGTGTGTACGTGCAAATTTGAAGGCACCTGTATGTATCGGTGGATTCCAGTGATGTCTAAATTGCCTTTGTGGTCTTGAGAGGCCACAGGATTGACAGAAAGCTCCGGGGTGGAGTGCCTGTGGACAGGTCTGCTCCATTACAGCACAATAACAGTCACTTATCAACTGATCAACAGACGGAAGTTGGACCAAACTTCCTCAGGGACACCAACACTTATAACACATCCATCTACCCACAAAGTTCGGTCTACTCTGCCTGTGTGTTTTGCCTTTATTTTCTTTCTAGTTTTCTAAAGTTTGCCTTTGATTTGATCATATCAAACCCCTGTGACCTCGATGAGAATATTGCATCAAATGTTTTCCCCTTCCACATGGAGAAGAGGTGTCACAGATAGTCACAGGGTAATTCAGTTCATCTGCAATTAAATATGACTACACTGACCACTGTAAACCACATGAAAATGATGGACTTCAAAATAGAGCTGCAACAATACATTTATAAATAGGTTAGTCAATCTTTAGAAAATGTTCTATTTTGGTAATTGATTAATTGCTAAAAGCTACAGAATGCAAGCTCTGAGGTGGCATGATGGTGCAGTGGTTAGCACTGTGGAACCTCACAGCTAACTGGGGCCTTTCTGTGTGGAGTTTGCATGTTCCCCTTGTGCCTGTGATTAGTGACCTGTATGTGTGAGTGTCAGAGGCTGTCTGTCTCTTGTGTTAGCACTGTGACTAGGATTGGATCGAGCCCCCCCCAGCACACACACACATGCACACACCCCGAGACCCTCAACTGGATGAGTGGTATAGATAATGGATGGATGGAAATCAAGCTAGCTCTAACATAAAACCTAAAAGCACATCATTCTGCTCCTCTTCCTCTCCCTCATCTGCTATTCTCTACCCAGCCCTTCACCCACAGTACATACTTGTCCTGTATGCTGTCTCAGGTAATGCGGGAAGCTTGCTAGTCTGTGAGTCTTCCACAGTGCCGTGTTTCAGCAGAAAGAGTACTTGACCAGCTGTGAGGTCCCACCTCTGACTTTGGTCTTTTCTAACTCAAGCATTGGATTTTAGAATGCAATAGTGCTCCACTATTGCCAGATGGTTTGATGAATCTGGGTCACAGAAACCTCCTCTCTTGTTTGAGCATATTTCTACTATTTTCTACTGTCAAACTTCAGTATTATGAGCAAATATATAGTTTGGACTTCCTTTGTAGCAGGAACCCACTCTGCCCTAAAGTTACATAATACAACAGTTACAGTTACATAATCCATAGCACAAATCCTCCAAGCCCCCTTTCAGACAGTGAGTGGGTGACTGGTAAAAGCCCAGCATTAACTGATAACCAAAGATCACACCGGCTTACTGCAGTCTGGTGGCCCTGTACCCTCAACTGGTAATTATTGCAAGCATTTAAACAATAGTTAAGTTGCATTCATAAAGGTACCTGGGTTATCTTTTCTTACTAGTGCCATTACAGAGATGAATGGCACTCTGCACTATCAGCATACAGCAAGACAAAAGGAAAGTGTTTAGGTTTGTTTTTTATTTCCCCCCCAATTTCGTTGGTGTAGGTGTGTAATGCTATCAACTCTTCTCATCTCTCAGAGCGTAGGGAGAGCGGAGGCATGATGCTCCAAAGGGAAGCTCATCATCTCCCTTTGTGTTTTGCTGTTTCCTCATGTTATTGTGAAAAGACAATCTGTTATAGATGTCCGTGCAATGGCTTATATAAGGTTTCATAACAATGCAGAGAATTAGCTGTCCAGGGTCAACAGGGAAATCAGCCTGTATATACAGTGAAGAACTGGGGAACTGCTGAGTTGCCATTGTGACACATACAGTGTAACATGTTTTATACCTCATCAGGTATAAAAACTGTGAAATTTTGTACAGGTCTGTGCATTGTACCATTCTGATGCAAGCTTTCAAATCATGAAGCTGCACTGCAGTCACCACTAACCTTAAAATTCTTTCCAGGCACAGATGTCACTAAGTGTTTCCATCAGCTGTCACATTCATCTGAAAACTGGTGTGAAGTAACTGTTGTATCAGTTAATAACAAGTCACGGCAGTTAGTCTTAGTATGAGAGTGTTTTTCCATCTGTAATAGAGTGCTGATCAAGGGCTGGAGGTCGGGTCTAGGGCAAGGAGATGGATGGGAGAAATTAGTGAACACGGCTTGCTCACAACAGATAAAACAGACCAGAAGAAGAGCTATCTCAGGAATGAGGAAGTCAGAAGGAAGGGCGGTAGAGGCAAAATGGGAATAGAGGACAAGACAGAAAAAAAAACAAACAGTCCCAAGCAAGGATCTTTTCCTTCTACAAAGAATTAAAGTGGATGTCCGGTCCCAGCGCCCCCATCAACACACTTCCCATGTCCTCCTGACATCATTGTGCAGCAGGCTATCAGCAAATGCTCTGGAGTATTTTTCAAATCAAACGTCGACCATCCTGACCTCTGCTTTCCGCCTTGCATCAGAGTGTGTCCCGGTCATGTGACTGGATGCACAAAGCAAATATAAAAGTTATGGTCTGCTGGACAGAACAGCTGCACATCTGGTGGCTTACAGCTGCACAGATGTGTTTGAAGTGGAAGATTATTTATATGTCCTTATTTTGTTTTGATTTCTCTCTTTACTTCTTCTCTCCTGGCGTCTTCTTTCTTCAGTCCTTCATCACTTCTCACTGACCTGTTGCTTTTTGTTGCTTTTAACTAAATGCTCTTTTTACACTGTTGGTTTGGCCCTAGATTTATTGATTAATTGACTATGGAGGACTGGAAGTGAAGAGTCTGGGTGTACTCTGCCATTTGACCCATTAAACTCTTATTTATCAGAGGCCTAACTCCTCATTGTTTCAGAGATAATCTTTTGCTCTGTCTTTCTCTCTCTGCTTATGCTCTTCAGACTCATACTCAACAGCAGGCAGCGAGGGCAGCATCTCCACTTCTGTGGCGTCCTTGCCCCCACAGGCATCGGGCAGTTCAGTCCCCAGCTCTCCAGGCTCCAGACGCTCTGTGAGCACCCTGAAGAAGTGGCTTACAAATCCTGTCCGCAAACTCAGTGCCGGGGCCAATGCCAAAGGGGAGCGTCAGGTCCGCAAACTTGAAGGAAAGCCTCCACCGCCTTCATCCCACTGCTACAGCCAAGACCTGGGTAGTCCACCAAGGCCCAATGACACTCTCACTCACAAAGAACTGGTGAGACTGAAGAAGAATTCCCTCATAAATAAAGCCATTAACTAGAATAATTCCCACACCGTCTTATCACAAGGCATTTGCATCAAATGATCTAAACCTGCCAAGTCTTATGTGTAGTCTTATATAAACACAAACTAAAGCCAACATCCTGACTGTGGCTTGTTCACACTTGGTAGCTCAAGAAAATCAGCAGAGGCACGGGTCTGATGTAGAGTTGGTCCACAGAGGACTAAGCATTATGGCAGGTAGAGATACTATTATATAACAGTAGCACTGCTGGCTTAGCCTGGAGGAACTCCTGTTGGTGTGTTCTCTTACTCATATACTCTCTTTTGCTGTATAGCTGCCTGTGTGTGTGTCAGTGCATGTTTGTGGGTGCCCAAATGCACAAGCATGTTATGGACATTTTGCAGAATGGTGATAATGTGTTATTCTGACTCTGTGGATGTGTGTGTGTGTGTGTGTGTGTTCCAGGAGTGGAAAGATGGCCTGGCAAGCCCTGAAGACCTGTCACCTGCTACATTACAGTCCCCCAGCTACATAACAGACTCACTGATTGGCTGCATGTCATTGCCAAACACCCAGGTTTGTCACTACAATGCCATGTAAAACTAACAACATCTAGCCTGTTTTATCAGCTTTTTTCATATAGAAATAACATGAAGTAGATCCTATGTTAGTGGCTTGAATATATGTAGTAAATTCTCACTACTGGAAAACTTGTGAATCTTTCTGTTTTATAGCAATAATTTGTTATATCCACTGTTGTTTCATTTTAACTCACAGTTCACTGTAGTCAGTCTCGGAGAGGAGGAATATTCTTAGTGAGGACCTAACTTGGCAGGGAGGTGACATCAGTTTTTTTTTGTCTCCATGCCCCTCGAGCCAGATCTGGAAATGGCTAATTCTCAAACAAATAACCCCAACAGTATCAACACAAAGCACAGACACCCACACACACACACACAACATAGTTTCTCAGAACAGATTACTGCACCAGACGACCAAAGGGAAGAGTCTGACAGCGACCGGTGTGATGCATGGCTCTCATTTAGCATGTTACGAAAGGACATGCCTGGAGGTAAATAGGAAATAGCACAGAAATACAGATATGATGAAAGATGACCCCACTTTGGAGAACTAACAAAGGACACTATGTACGTACACATGCTTTAATTTCTCTATCAAACACTTGCAGTCAGTTGCTTGTGGCAAAAAACCATCTCCAGTCGAGGGTCCCTTTCTGCTGAGAGATGGAAGCGTGGCAGAGACTAGGATTCACTTGAACAGCATGAATTGACAGTGCTTGAACCCTATCAATACACTGTAAAACAATAATGATATCTGAGCATTTGAGCATTGATTGTGGAGTGTCTCCTGTTGGTGAATCGACACCAGAGCACTTAAATCCTAATTTCAGTTTCAACAACACATCGAAAGCCATTAATACGGTTACATCAGAGTGATGAGGTCAGTGCTTTGGTGTTTTTACTGCCAGTCTCTGGAGAGAAGGAGAGAGAGAGAGGTAAAGGGATTAAGTTATGTAGGTCATCTATGAGCTGTAGTTTCTGTGTCTGTACACCACCTGTATTTGGCTGCATGTCCAGTATTACAGTATTACAGTATATACACTGCTGTTTATCATTATTTCTTCACAGTGTTGTCTCTTATCTGACAACACAGTGGAGTGTGGTTTTTGATAAAATATTTATTTCTTGGTCAGTGTGATTCTATGTCAGCAGTTAAACAAGGTGTGGTGTCAAAAGGGACGCCAAAACTAAAGATCACGGTATTTATTAAGATGTTTTTCCTGAGGAACAGTTTGTACAGTCTGTCACCACAACCCACAGACCAAAACAAAAAAAAACTAATAACTAAGGAATAGTTTCCAGGTGATGCTTGAAGCTGAAGCTGGAAATAGTGAAAAGAAATGACTGGTGCTGTTATTGTGAAATATCTTCAGAGCTATCCCTTGCTTTGCAACACTGGAAACAGCGGCATTTCATTGCAGTTTGCAGCACTTAGCACAGTACCATACTTTTGATTTGTGCTTGCGGGTAGGGATTGATCACTGATTAAGACTGGAAATATTAAAACACGTGCCTGGCAATCACTGTTGTAAATATTACATTTAAAGCCATAGTATTAATATCACTATAAAGGATAAGGCTGATCACTTTCTATATTAACAGTATTTTTAACACTCCCCATAAAGAGACTAAATGTTTCTCAGTACTGAATAGACCTCCATTGTTGTCCAAAAACAATTAAAAACACAGCAGGGAAGCACACCGCTGCTCTTAGTAACATATTTCCTCTTTACAAAATAAACAAACCCTAACATTTGTTAGGAATTTCCAGAGATCTCGTGCATGGGCAGTTGACTTCTGCTTACTTCAGATACTGTAAAAAGTTATGGTTGTTCAGAGCCCTCGGGGCAGCATTTTTAAAACTATCAGGGCTCCTTTAATACTGCTGATTTGCAGCAGTTTATATTTTCCAACACTAAGTGGTTTGTTGGTCCCCAGAGGAATAATGCAAGACTTGAGCCACAACGATATGTATAAAATAATAAATGTAATCTACTTAAATAAATACAAATACTGTATATATAAAATTATAAAATAAAAAAAATATTTGCATGAGGTAAACATGCAGGTGGTGCAGTGGTTAGCACTGTCACTACACAGCAAGAACATTCAAGCTTCAAGCCTTGAAACCAACAGTGGCCTTTCTGTGTGGAGTCTGCATGTTCTCCTTCCACAGTCCAAAGACATACAGGTTATGCTAACTGTTGACTCTAAATTGCTGTGGGTGTGAGTGGTTGTCTGTCAGTCTTGTGATGGAGTGGTGATCTGCCCAGGGTGCACCCTGCACAGTGTTAGCTGACCATCTACAGCATATATAGTATAGATAATGGATGGATGACTTGAACATAACATTTGTAACTATTTTTGTTTTAGTATCAAGACATTACACTTACAGGAGCAAAATTATTATTATTTTTGCTTTGACATTAAGCACATTTTATGGCCCATACACATTTGAGAAAAATAACTTGTAACACCTCCACTCTAGAGTAATTGAATTGTTATAATCAGTTTTGATAGCTTTTTCATAAACTGCAGTCAGTTCCTATTATTTTTTTGTTTTAGAGTTTCTGGCTAAAAATACAAAACTTGCATCAAAGGATTTTCTTTCAAAGGGCTTTGCCACAAAACATCTGGAAGTGATCAGGGAGCCAGGGAGACCCGTCAGCCAGGCTGGAGCACTCCTAGCGGGGCAAGGCAAACTGGGGAAACAATGGTCTTTATGGAGCCTCTCTGTCTCTCCTCACACCCCTGGCTTTCGTCTTTGCTTTGTCTCTTTGTTTCTTTGACTTTCTCTCTCACACACATCACTGTGACAGAATTAAAAAGTCCACAACTTGTAGATGCCAACAAGTTTATCAGGAAGATGGCAGGTGAACAAGCTGACATGAGCCAGAGGAGAGAAGGTGAAACTCCTGTCAGTCTTTCCTTTTCCCTTTATGTCTATCTATCTATCTGTCTATCTATTTATTTCTTTGTCTGGCAGGATCCTGTCAGGGGAGTCTGAGAAATGAGGCATATGTCTATGCTGTGTGTGCATGTTTATATGTTTAAGGTGGGGAGGTTCTGCTTGACTTGGACACATGGATTCAGGTGAAGACAAACGGTTTCTCCTGTAAGTTTGCACAGTCAGGAAACAGTGAAAAGGTTAAAAAAGAATTGGCTTGAAAAACATGGCTAAAAATAGAGGGAAAATCTTTGTGAGCTGACACTATTGTACTGAGAGATGAGTCATTTTTATTGTCAAATAAATGGGATAAATATGTTTGTTGTGAGAGAGAAATAGGTTACACAAACATTGGGATTGCATGCAGATGTGAAACATGTATCCACTGAGTTAGTGATAATTTTAGCTTTTATAAGCTTTGCATGGTAACTCTATATTTGTGACAGGACCACACAGGAGATGATAATAATTCCAGGAAAACACATGAAAGAGAAGCCATATATAACATGAGAAAACAATCAATTAGATCAGAATAACCTTGGGTTTTGTCCTTCCTGCTTTTCTGTCTGCAGGCAATGGGGCAGTAACTGCTGACATAGATGTTGCTGTAGTAGTGCTAAAGACATAAAAAGAAGAAACTGCGTGATGTATTTCCATATGGGTTTTGAAATGTAATGCCATTCCCAGCAGTGTGCAGGACTTGTATCCCTTTCCCTCTGAAACCAAAACTCCATCAAGAACCTTCACAGCTTTATCTATCATCTTCTACAGGCATCTAGCCTGTTGCTCCTTTGAACTTTCCTTATCTTTTAATCTTTTGCCTCCATCTGTATGTGGCTGATGTGCACAGTGAAAATCATTACCTATGACAATCTTATCATCTTCTTATCATTCTCTTATCATCTTCTTATCATTCAGCCTCTGTAGCTCATGTTTCTCTGTTCATCACCTTGGCAGCCTGCACCATTATCATCTCTTGGTTGCTGTTTATCTCCCTTTACTTTATTCTTGGAATGATTCATAATACTGGATAAACAGTCTCTGTCTGTTTGTCTCTGCTTCCTCAGGACACTCAGTCCACCGGTGTCCTGCCAGATGACAGCGGCTCTATGTTGATGGATGACACCTCCAGTCAATGGTCAGCCGTGGCTGACACTGAGGAGGAGAGGGGAAGTGCCTTGGAGAAAAGCATGTATGTGTAACTGTCATTTTCATTGCAGCAGTGTTATCACATATTCTGTAAATAAATGTGCTATTGTGCAAACAACATCACATTTGAGTGCAGGGATGTGTATGATTTCACCACAACACATTATGCTGAGCCATTTTGTCCTAACAAGACAAAGAGCTTACAGCCATGCTAGCAACTTTATGAGGCTGCATTTGGGCGCAACATGCTAACATGCTCATAATCTCAACAGGGAAAAAAGACAGTGTTGTAAGACTGTAGGCTCCATCTGTATTAGGTATATTTACTATAGATGTAGATATACCTAACTTATTTATTTGAAATTTTAAAAAAGAACCATAATATTATTCAAAGTAATTATAGTGATATATATCCATCCATCCATTTTCCTCCGTTTATCTGGGACCGGGTCGCGGGGGCAGCAGTCTAAGCAAAGATGCCCAGACTTCCCTCTCGCCAGACACTTCCTCCAGCTCCTCCAGGGGA